TTGAGCATCAAGGACGAAAAGACCGTTGAGGTCCGTGCCAGAAACAATGGCTTCATTTCATCCAGGAAAGGTGTAAATCTTCCTAATACCGATGTCGATCTTCCTGCTCTGTCTGAAAAGGACAAGGCCGACTTAAAGTTTGGCGTCAAGAACAATGTGGATATGGTCTTTGCCTCCTTCATCCGCCGAGCTCAAGACATCAAAGACATTCGCGAAGTACTTGGTGAGGAGGGCAAGCAAATTCAAATCATTGCCAAGATCGAGAACCGCCAGGGCTTGAACAACTTCCGAGAGATTTTGGAAGAGACAGATGGTGTCATGGTTGCAAGAGGCGATCTTGGAATTGAGATCCCGGCTGCAGAGGTATTTGCGGCGCAGAAGAAACTGATTGCTATGTGCAACATTGCTGGAAAGCCCGTTATTTGCGCGACGCAGATGCTGGAATCCATGATCAAGAACCCCCGGCCCACTCGTGCCGAAATCAGCGATGTTGGCAATGCTATCACTGACGGAGCAGACTGTGTCATGCTGTCTGGTGAAACGGCAAAGGGAAACTACCCATGCGAGGCCGTTCGCGAAATGCATGAGGCCTGCCTGAAAGCTGAAAATTCCATCCCGTACGTTTCTCATTTCGAGGAAATGTGCACTCTCGTGCAACGCCCAGTCAAGACTGTTGAATCTTGCGCTATGGCAGCTGTACGTGCTTCTCTTGATTTGGCTGCTGGTGGTATCATTGTGCTGTCTACCTCGGGAGAATCTGCAAGACTTCTCTCCAAATACAGGCCAGTCTGTCCCATTTTCATGGTGACACGGAATGCCACCACTTCGCGCTTCAGTCACCTGTATCGTGGAGTCTATCCATTCCTTTTCCCTGAGGCCAAGCCTGACTTTGATAAGGTCAATTGGCAGGAGGATGTTGACAAGCGTATCAAGTGGGCTGTCAACCATGCTCTGGAGCTCAATGTCCTGACCCCAGGTGACACCGTGGTTGTCGTACAGGGTTGGAAGGGAGGCATGGGCAACACCAACACGCTGCGAATCGTCCGTGCCGACCCAGAGCACCTGGGAATTGGCCAGGCTTAGGAAAGGAAAACGGAAAAAAAAAAAACTTCATGGCGGAATACGAAGTGAAATGGAACGGGAACGTGAACAAAATTGATAACATGCTGGGAGTTGGACGCGTCAACCGAGGATTTTGATAGACTTTACAGTGCAATGATGCAGACTAGTGAGCTCAGAACGTCTCGAGTCTCTTTTTTTTTAACGTGGTACTATAGGCGTCTTTTCGTCTTCTTGATTCCTTGGTCATTTGTGGATGGGGAACATTTTTCTATACGTCGATGGTTTATCTAGCGGGAGCCCAGTACTCTGCGCCCTAAAGATTCTTGATCTCGAAGGCCCTTCGCGACTATTTCCCGCACTCAATAAGAACCAAGGAGCAGAGATCACGGCCATGGCTATTGATACAAGCAAACTATTTCACCAGCTGGGCCCTAGCTTCTCATACACATGTACGGAGTGCAAGGGTAAGCCAGTAAGGGACAACACCGCTCCGACACCTTACTACGTTATTCGAGCTACCATCGCCCCGCAAATTTGTTAGCCCGCATTGCAAAAGTTGTTCAGATTGACACTCCCACGGCATGTCAGGACACAGTTGACGAGTCTCCTCCGCGTCGGTCAGTTGAAAAGGGTTTTGGGATCATCATCGCCCTTCCGTTATAGAAAATCTCATCGTAGCTTAGCTCAGCCCGCAACACATCTTCTCGTGGCAAACCCTTCTCATCGTCAACTGCGGACGCCTTGTGGTCGGCGTTTTTGCGACTGCACTGGGTTTACTTACATTAGTTCGACTGGTAATAAATAACCTTGGCATCTACCTGGTGGAGTTTCCCGCGCCTTCAGAGTGTCATCGGAGTTTGATTCTGTCCCTGTCAAATCGGGTTGTAATCGGATTGCCTTAGATACAATAAATAATAAAGGGATAAGCGCACCTAGTAAAAAGAGTAAGCCCGCCGAGTAATTTACTTGTTGTCTCCCCACTCAACCTCTGCTCGTGGAGGGGTGTGGCGTCATCTGGCGTCTGGAAGCTACCAGTCCCGTTTTGTACGTGCAAAGGCGGGGGACATTGGACCTTTGCATTTCATTAAACCAGGTCAAGGAAAGCTCCCGATTGCTTCGCAAACTGATTCAGCTCATCCAACTTGGGTTGGGGATAGCACCACCAGTCAGCAACCCTCCCTCTCGCATCTATTACCTATAGCCCCATTTTTGAACGTTGAACTGCTCCAAGATTTTTATCCTCGACAAGGAAATGCGCCTACCCTTCGAGTTGGCATGTCGCTGATACCCTACCACCCAAGGGAGGGCCGTGAGATTGTGTTGTGAGTCCGCCCACAATTTTTCTAAGCAGAGATGATACCGCCTTCGCCTGGGTGTGCTAAAAACACCTTACGGGTATAAACCCATGACTAACGCTGTCTCTGCACAGGCGTCATCGCAATGCCGTTGTTGTTCGGGATCCCGAGTCCCAGCGACTTGAGATACGCGGCTCTGAATGTCCCACGTGCCACCAGCCCTTGGGTCGAGCATCATCGCCGGAAAGATCGTTCGAGCGACCATATGAAATGAATCACGAATATGTGGACCCAGAATACTTTCGCATGTTAAGAGCAGGCAATCATTTCCCGCGGGGAAACGGTCCTCCTAGTCCTGTCCGCCGACTTGTTCAACCAGCTCTGACAACTAGATCCGCTACCCGTTCTTCTTCTCCACAAGAACCTATACCAAGGCAGGATGAGTCTCAATTCTTGTCCAGTAGTCCAGGAGTACCCAAAGCTGAAGGCAGCAGAATCCGTAAAGAAGCCTTCAGTCCGAACTATTTCAGGAGCTTTTTCGTCGAAGAACGCGTACTTGGCAAAGGAGGCAAGGGTGTTGTGCTGTTGGTGCGACATGAAATTGATGGATGCCCTCTTGGGCACTTTGCATGCAAGCGTGTTCCGGTTGGGGATGACCACTCGTGGCTAGAAAAGGTCTTGGTCGAAGTTGAACTCTTAGCTAAACTCTCCCACCCCAATCTCGTCTCCTATCGCCATGTATGGCTGGAAGATGTCCAACTGACTAGATTTGGACCCAGTGTTGCTTGCGCCTTTATTCTTCAGCAGTACTGCAATGGCGGTGACCTCCATCAGCATGTTGTCGGCAGTGCGCCTAGAGAGCTTACAAAGGAGGAGCTGAAGGCACAGATGAGGCGACGGTCAAAAGGTCAAGCGGAAGCCCCATCAGGCCCAGCAAGGCCGCAATTGTCATTTGAAGAAATATACTCCCTGTTCAAGGACATTACATCCGGCGTGGCCTATCTTCATAGCGCGAACTACATCCACCGGGATTTAAAGCCGAGTAATTGTCTTCTGCATCGCGAGGGAGGCAAATTGACATGCCTCATCAGCGACTTTGGCGAGGTTCAACCAGAGAATGCTGTGCGTAAGTCTACCGGGTCAACTGGCACCATATCGTACTGCGCCCCCGAGGTTCTGAGAATGGACGTCGCCGGGCAGTATGGAAACTTCACAACCAAGTCGGATGTTTTCTCACTCGGCATGATACTTTACTTCATGTGTTTTGGAAGACTACCTTACCAAGGGGCCAATGCTATACAAGAGGAGCTAGAAGATATTGATCAACTTCGAGCTGAGATTACGGACTGGCAAGGTTTCCAAGACGAGCGGCAAGAACGTCCGGACTTGCCGTCCAAGTTGTATAAGCTCCTTAAGAAGCTGCTGGCTCTTGATCCGACAGAACGCCCTAGCGCAAATGAAGTTTTGTTAGCAATGAGGAGCGAGACAAATTTCGATAACATTACTAAAGGCGACTGGGTGGCTAGTCGGGTACAGAATCTGGACTCCCCAGTGCCTCCCGGAACCCCTGTCCCAGGTAAGTTTGCCCATCACAGTAGCACCATAGGTATAATTTCAGAGGAATATAACATTACGCTCGCTCACTTAGATCCTGAAAAGGAGAAGCCTCGTGGACGTACAGGAAGTCGAAAAGGAAGTGTCGACCCAAGCCCACCACATCAAAACTCTTTTGAAGCCATGGAAAACCCTACCCAGACATCACCGCCAAACGCCTTCGTAAATCATGATCTGCACAACCATCATCATTTGGAGTTAAATCAAGACGAAGGCCGAAGGGGCTCCGATATCGTGAATGGAACACACTTGTTAGATGCCGACTCATCGGAACTACCTGCTCCACGTCTGCTAATGGCACCGCCTCGGACACGGGCAGCGGAGTTCATATACCAAGTTTCGATTTTGAGTCACCATATGTCTTCTGGGCTCGGGCTTACTACCGACACGTTTGACTCTATCTTTCGCCTTGCGATTTTTTCCTTGAAAGTCGCCACTCTCACTCGGCCATGCTGGCCATACGTTGTAAGCTTTGAAGTAGGAACACCCCTCATTCTTATAGCCGCTATTGAGCTGGGCTGGCCAACTTCTGCTGCCAATAATAATTGGGATGAAAGAATTATTCAGCGTCGGTTAAGTATTACTACAAGCGTAGCGCTGTTGGGGGTTCATTTCATTACTCTTTGGGTTGCTCGTCGATGGAACATCCTTTGTACACCGCCATTGCAAGAGGAGTGGGCGGAGTGAAAGGGAGGGTTCTGGAGCTATCGGATCTAAGACGTTGCTTCATTATTTTCACTTGTTCTGTTGGGGACTTATATATTGCTTGTACGCTATGTTCATGGCGTTTACCTGAATCGCTAGTCTTTAGAATCACGGTTGTACTCTTGGCAGCAGGCAAGAGCGCTATTATGAGAGGCGAGCGCAACCAGTTTTTCCCGTGACTATCAGTATGCCGTCGTATCTGCTTCGTCGGGTCTATTGTTTATTTTGTTTTGGAGAAATGATTTTTCTCCAATGCTAGGAGGTCGGGTTTTCCTGGATACCACAGCCTAGTAGAACAAATATGTAAATCTGGGCACACTTTTCTCACTTTAGTATGGCCCTGAGCCCAAAGCCTTTCCGTCTTTCCATCTCAACGTTAGCTAAACCAAGGTTGTAACCCCCGGCACTGATCTTCTTCCCTTCCGTAATACTTCCAAATCCAAAGTCCGGTTCTTCACCCAGACTGCCAAAAATGTCGCCTATGTAGTTGGTCGGCTCGATTCCTCGCTGGTACGTGCAGTTCCAATCGGAAACGATGCCCCGAACAATGCCGATGCCAACATTAAACAAATTTTCTATGGCAATCATGAAACCATTCTGATCGGTCCGCCTTAAGTGTTCCCAATCCGAGAGACCAGGTGGCGGTCGATCAAAGTTTGACCCTGCATGAATTATTCATTAAGCATATGCGTGGTACTTTCTTACATAGCTCCGAGTTGTTTAGGAAATGACTCACCAGCTCTCACAAGTATGATTCGCGCAAAATCAACGAGACCTTCAATTGCTGCCCTAACCATTACTTCAAGAGTGGCATTCTCTTCTTGAGCACTCATGCAGTATACACCAGAGCCATTCGTCCATAGAGTTGTTGTATTTTCAAAAGCGACCGCAAGCTTGGTCCCTGAATAATAGACGTCACTGGTAGCGATGTCACATTTGACAACACTGGGCGCCTGTGTGGCCATAGTATCGCGGTATCCGCCGCCTGAGTACTTTGACCGATATTCCTGCGGTCCTTTTTGGTCCTTGAGACTGGATTTAGATGCCAATAAAAAAGCTGCCTGCCTAAGATTTTCATTGACTTCAAAAACCTCAGTCCCATACAGTACGGAAGGGTACTGAAGGGGATAGTCACGCCCATAGGAGATGTACCCAGTTGGCCAATCTTGCGGCAACGACCGGGGATCAATCTCATATTGAAGGGCAACTTGGACTGCGTAGCGAGCGATTGCCACGCTACCGACAGTGGCATAATGGGGATTGACACCAGCAATGCCGGCAAAGAGAAAATACGACTTCCGAAAGTCAAACTGGGTCGACAAGACCAATGCCATCATTGATGCTGCTGCGTTGATTTCTCCCTCGCCAAGTGTAAGTTGGCAGATATTTCTTGTCTCCGTGCAGAAGACGCGGGGATATAACATTGACAAGCCGGAAACAGCAGTTGACCATGCTCCGAGGTTCCCTAATTTGGACTCATTGAATCTGGTATGCCAGACCTGTGCCTCGGGACGCCACTGTTATAGGAATACGGAATCAGTTATCCTGGACCTAGCTGAGAAAAGGGACATTTATCACGATAAACAAACCATCGACACAACCACTACCTTTGGCGCCACCCTATCGTCGGCGCCAGATGCTGAAACTGAGGGTTGGTATTGAACCAGCACGACTAGCTTTATTAAAAGAATAAGTTGGATTACCATCATATTGTGAATTATCTAAAAAATGGCAGAGTCGAATTGCTAATTGCCTTTGATAGGACATGAGTCCCGGAGGCGCATGAATTATGTAGTTGGGTCACGACAACAGCCGTTGCTGGTTTGGAATATCTGCGCAGGCTAAGTGGGTTGTATAGCGATGCTAGGTCTTTCAATGCTCCAATCAGTGACTTATCTATGGTTCTACAAAACGAGCGTAGGGAGTGATTTCCAGGCGAGGAGTGAAGCGAGGCCGCAAGCTATTCAGGCGAGACGTGCCGAGTATGTCGAACGAAGGCTACGCTAGCCTTGGACCTAGCAAACTACCAGTTGATATCTCAAGGCAGCCGAGTAGCGGACCGAACTGGCTCGGGCTCTCCTGTACTACGCGAAGAGTTTCAAAGTGGCCGCAAAAAGGAGACGTTGATCTGCAAACAAGACGGCTTTGGCCACCAAGACTGGGTAGGCAAAGAAATGCGTGTTCACACCAAAAAACCTACCCTACCCGGCAAGACAGCACCGAGTGTTGAGGACGACGAGGTGCGTGTTCAAAACTTTCTGGCAAGTGTCGTCTCGCTTGTTTTGCCAGGTTGAGTAAATAATGCCAACTACCAACGTACCTAGGTAGTTACTAAACTAGCCAAGTCGGCTCTTTGGAGCACCGGTGTCTATAATGTCTCGTCTTACACCGCACCTAAATATCTCGACCTGCTCCGCTCCAGAGAAATCGGGTGAAGTTGATGGCAGGCGGACATTTGGTCAAGGGATGAGGTGCGCTGTGCCAGCGAAGGCGAAGGCAGTTGGGTGCTACTAACGACTAGGGCAGACGCGTGACAGCAGGACTGGTCTGGCTGCGGACTCGAAGCCTCGGTACGAAGTACGCTACATCATGTTTCGGAGGTTAATGTTGGAGACGGACGAGGATACCTGTTAGAACGAGGAAATGACATGGATGAGGGCGATTGGCACTCCGTACTAATACGTACAAAGATAAATTGTAGATGCTGGCATTTTGCGCCGCACTGAGGGGCAGATTGACAAGGATCGGTTTGTTTGGAGACTGGTGCAACCTAGCGGATGCAACGGATGCTGGAAACTCCCGATTATGATCGCGTCAGTGAATGTGCCCAGTTGGGCTGCACAGTGAGCAACACTTTCGAGGCGAAGCATGGCTGGGGTCATATGAGTCGATGCTTAGGAACAGAACAGTAACCACTTGCTGCCTGGGCTGGTCATGTCGAAATGCGTCGATATACCAACGTTACGCGCTATCAATTCAATACACACCTACCTAGGTAGGTAGAATTAAGACTTTATTAGAGTTGGTTCTTGAGTTATCTGGGTCATTACGCCACACGGTGTCGCCGACCCCACTGTCCACGTACCGCAGTTTGCCCAGATGACAAGAACGAGTCTGGTTAGTTGAGTCAATTGGTGTCGTCCAGGCGCACTTGGGTAGATGCATCGTCAAGCCAAAATGCTCAAGTGGTCCCTGTGGCATTAAATCCAACGTTAAAGTCAGTGTCCATTGGCTGCTATACCCGCATAATACTGGTCAAACTTCTGGTCTTGTGGTAGTGCATGGGCCATCGAGCCGGGGTCGCCTTCGACGTGTTTGGCTCGTCGAACTTGCCAAGCTACTAGCTGCAACAAAGAACATGAGCGGTTTTGCTAGCACAGTCAACAGCCTACCGAAGCACGGATAGCAACGTCTGACTGTCCATCAATGTTGACTGATGATGATTCACAACTGGTCAATACCATCACCCCGTTGGCGGGGATGGTGCAGCACGTGGAAGGTGTTTCGTCTGCTTCGTCGACGGAATCAAGTGAAATCAAATCGTGAAACAGAAAGGCAAGCATGACGCTGTCAGCTGCTGGGTCAAAAAAAAAAGTCCTATTATTTGTTTTCGATCTTCGATGCTAGCAGTATCTTTTCTGGCGTGTCGATAAGTCGACTCCCTCCTCCTGTGCTTGCTTCGGCAATCAAAGAGGTACCGATTGGATCCATTCCCCGTATCAACGCGGCGTGAATTGCTCAGCGGGCTTACTCTTTTTCTAAGGTGCGCTCATGACCCAACAGGTACCTGGCTTTCGGGCTTTTTACTATCAATATATACTGTAATATATTAGTGTTTATGAGAAGTAAATATATTCTGCCACAGACTAACTACCTAGGTATGTTTATTAAGAGAGCTTCATTACAGTAAATAGTAAAGGGACAAGTAAACCTAGCCAGAAGAGTGAGCTCGCCGAGCAGTTCACCTCTTGTAGTCAAATGCTTCTGTCTTCGTGGAGGTTCGCGCAACATTGGAGCCCCCAATCTTCCCTGTCCTAGGCTGACTGGGGTGGGTGGGGCGTGGACGCCTCAGCCTTGGCACCTGCATTCCGAGCCTGGGGTGGGGGAGAGAGAGCCCAGTAGCTCGTCCATCCGGGCCAAATTAACACAGGCTAGTTCCATGTTCCCACTCACCAAGCAATCTACTCCGTACATTTATCGACTTTTTCTACGATGTGCTCAACCTGAGCGAGTAGTGACGAGGTTCCGTCCACTGGGTACCTTTTCTTTTTAGCCTCTGCTCCCCCAACTTACTTTGCCAATCTCCGGATGGGCTATCCAATACTCGGCTCCGTTGATTTCCTTTTTAACCCTGGCGACTTGGTTGGAGAAACTGAAGGGCCGTCTGGTATCCCTTACCGTACCAAGTACATCCCCATCACCGTTACTCGGACCAATATCTTGCGCTCCTCTCTGGACATGCCCAGCCGTTACCGTTTTCATCCCACCCCGTGAAGGCCCGAGAATCAGCGGACTCGAGTACCTTCAGACCATCTAGAGGCTACTGGTTGGCCACGACCATTTATGGATTCAATTGCTATCAAGCCAATCCAGCGCCGTGACAACCATGGCCCGGGGCCGGACCAGAATGCCAGACCTCTAGCAGAGGAGTTGCGCGGAGAGTCGCCCATACCTTCCAACAATTTCGCCTTCACTCCGTCCCAGCTGCACAAGTTGATGACGTTTCGCAGCCTCGAAGCTCTCGACTACTTCGGCGGCACTCGCGGCCTGGCCGTTGGTCTACGGACTGACATCGCTGCCGGCCTCAGCGCTGACGAGACCAACCTTGACGGATCCGTCTCTTTCGACGAGGCCGTGGCTGCCGGCAGGGAAGCGCGCTCCCCCGTACTGCAGAGCGTCCATCCTCCCTCGACACATCATGCCTACCATGCTTTACGTCTCGGAGACGGGCCCGACCGCCATTTTGCGGATCGAAAACGAATATTCGGAGCCAATCGACTTCCGCGCCGGAAACAAAAATCCTTTTTTAAACTCATGTGGATTGCCTTCAATGACAAGCTGCTCATACTCCTCACAATATCGGCCTGTATATCTTTGGCTATTGGCATCTATCAGTCCGTAAGCGCCGAGGAGGGAATGTCCAACATTGAGTGGGTTGATGGCGTCACTGTTGTCATTGCCATTGTTATTATCGTTCTTGCAAGTGCTGCCAATGACTGGCAGAAGAATCACAAGTTCGAAAAGTTAAACGAACGCAAAAAACATCGAGAAGTAACCGTCTTCAGATCCGGGAGAGCGCAACTCATATCTATACAGGAAGTCAATGTCGGAGATGTGATGCATATTGAAGCGGGCGAAGTCGTTGCTGTTGATGGCGTTCTTCTACAGGCCTCCGGTCTCCATATAAACGAGTCCTCCATCTCTGGCGAATCTGGCATGGTACACAAGACTGTCCCTGGCGACCACGATGCCTCCCATGCCGTACTTGCCGATCCCTTCATACTGAGCGGAACTACCGTCACCCGGGGCGTAGGACGTTACCTAGTCACCTCCGTTGGCTCCAACTCTACTTATGGCCGTACTCTCATGTCCCTGCGTGAAGATGTGGAGGAGACGCCATTGCAAGCCAAACTGGGGCGACTAGGCAAGCAACTCATAGTGTTTGGAGCCGTTGTTGGCGCCATCTTCTTCGTCATTTTGTTCATCCGGTACTTGGTTCGACTGAAATGGATGGCAAGCAAAGGCCCGTCCAACAAGGCAGAGGAATTTTTCCATATTCTCATTTTGTCTATAACTGTCGTCATAATAACAGTACCCGAGGGCTTGGCATTGAATGTCACCGTCGCACTTGCGTTTGCTACCACACGCATGCTTCGTGACAACAATTTGGTTCGACTCATTCGTTCGTGCGAAGTAATGGGCAATGCTACCTGTGTCTGTTCCGATAAGACCGGCACTCTTACGCAGAATAAAATGACAGTTGTTGCTGGTCGCATTGGTCTTGACGGCACTTTCAATGACATGGACTCTCCAGTTGTGGGAGCTGGGCAGCCTCAACCGGGATCTGCTGTAATCGGGAATGAAGGATCGACGAAGCTCGTTTCTGCCATGTCACATGAAGTCAAGGACCTTATCAAAGACAGCATTGCGCTGAATTCCACTGCGTTCGAGAGCGATGACTCCAAAGTCTCCGACTATTTCGGTTCCAGCACCGAAACTGCACTACTCAAATTTAGCCGGGACCACCTGGGATTGGGGCTTTTGACAACGGAGAGGGCCAACAATCCGGTTCTAACCATGCTGCCATTCGAGTCCTCCCGAAAGTGGATGGCAG